GGAGAGAGAGAGAGAGAAAGAGAAGGGGGTAGGATAGAAAGAGAGAAAGCGAGCTGAAAGTAAAGTTTTAATTAACGGTCACACGTCCAGGCCAGAACTTTATAGCCGCGAGGGGGTTAGTAGTTGGAAATCCTGAAAGCGCCGGGTCGACCTCGCAGCTGCCACGGATTTGCATTCAGATTGCATTTTTTTTTTTTAAGAGGTAATTACACCGGGCACTACGCGACCGGAAGAGAATCTACGCGCACCTCATCTGCATCGGTCGGTGTACGGTAGGCCCTCATTCGGTGCTAATGTCTGTTCCACACTCATTCTCCGTCGCAATCGTCATTTCCTTTCCGCAATCGGATTACGTGCACGTGTGAAAATTATTATTTAGAAAAATGGTTCTCGCAATATTAAAATGGTTCTGTAGAAAACGGTATGGCTATAGGAAATATCGTTTCCAATAAATCCATTACACGATAATAGTCCTCCATTACTTAAGATCGTAGTAATAATCTGTGATGGTATAATTTTGCGATTGGAAAATATAAAAAAGGAAATAAATAAAAATAAATAAATAAAAAAATATTAAAGAAAATATACAATTTTAAAGAATGTCAATTCACATTCTTGAGTTTTTTTTTTTTTTAACAAAAGGTACATGATAAACGCGTTTAATCGCGAGAGAGACAAATTATGATTATTTAATACACTTTTATCGAAAACCTAACCGCTATGTATTTCTTAAATAAATAGAGGTGGTGTCATGTGTAGTCGAATTCTTCTGCACAAAGCAAGGTTTTGCGGCTCTCCCATTTGCACTTGGGTATACATAGAGTGAGCGTTCCCCGTCCGATTACGATCTGTGCCTGTAAAACCGGCCTATTCCGCTATTCCGCGTTTTATCGTACGCGAGAGGCGACTCGCGCACCCGTCGCAATTACTGTTGACTCGCGTCAAATATCCGCGGCATTCGCGTAATCCGCTTAATAGACTTTTCCAATGGTCCGGTGCGCGGCGGCCGCGAGCGCAACTCTAATATGACGGCCATCGGCCGTCCCGATTACGCGCTTGCCTGTTCCTTAATTAAAGGATACCTCGGTAAATAACGGATGTAATTGCGCGGACACTGTCGCGCCAATAGCAAAGTTGCATGTAAATAATATTATCTCGTAAACGACTCTGCGACAGGACGATAAAACGTTTGGGAGCTTTTTTTTGTTGATAATAGGACTCGCGTAACAAATAGATAAATTAAAAAGGATTTGGCAATCTGCTCTGCAATATTGTCAACTCTGTTACAGCCATCACATTCTGACATTTATTCTTTGTTTCTATGACTTGAAACTTATATATATATATATATAAATATATATATATATGTGTACTTTCTACATTTCGAATTACACTGAAATATAAAACACATTTTTGTTATAGAGGTATCAGAGTTATCAATTTGAAAATATTTCCTTCTAGTGCTTTGTATATCGATATGAATTTCGTACGAATGTCGTTTTACCTGCTCTGATACGACTGAGCGCTTATTAATTCTATTATAGCCATCACGTTTGGACATTTATTCTTTATTTAATATCACTTAAAACCTATATATACTTTCTATGCTTCGAATTGCAATGAAATATAAAAACACATTTTTTGCTAATATTTTATAGAGGTATCAGAATTAGCAATTTGAAAATATTTCCTTTTAGTGTTTTGTTTATCGATAATGAATTTCGTACGATATGAATGTCGTTTACCTGCTCTGACTTGTACGTCACGACTGAGCACTCTCCCGACGGTGTTGCTCGCCACGCATCTGTACGCAGCGCTATGAACATCTTGCCGGTAGGCCGCTGCCGGAAACGGCAGGAGCACCAGGGTGCCGTTTCTGAGTACCCTCCGCACTCCTGATACATCGTTCACCGGATGTCCATCCGCGGTAGACCAATCGATGTTGGGCGGCGGACTTCCGGAGGCCGTGCAGTCCAACCAGGCGCCGCTAGAATTCGAGAATTCAATCCTCGATGGCGGTTCCAGCACGAAGCTGGGGCCGCGTAGGTGCGCGTCAAAGCCGTGCCCGCCCGCGGACGTTACTACAGCAGCTGCACCTGTACAGAAAACCACATGTTCTTTTATGAGGAGATAAATATCCATATAAAGTAGAATAATATTTTTAATGTTCTATTTAATTATATTTCTTTTAGCTTGGTCATGAGTACTTCAATTAAATGCGTTAAAAATGTATTATTGTATAAAGATGATGCTGAAGAGTGATCTCTGACAAAAGCATTCACACATCTGCACATATTTTCTGTGCATATTTAAATATACCTAGATGTATTTATATATGTAAATATATTTATCAGTATATATCTATAGATATATTTATCATACGTACACTCATACACACATTTCTGCATATGGACAAATTTTCGTGTCGTTTTTTTTTTTTTTGTATCACATTAACTCGATGTTGTTTCTTCATGTAATCTTCTAGTTTGACAATATTTTGTAGATACAGTGCAAAATTTTTATATAAAACAAATATTGACGTAATTTGACAGTTTTGGACAGTTTTAAAATACTAAATGATAAAAAAGATCTAGATTAAAAAAATTTTGTCTCGTTTTTGATACGAAATTCACATGCTAAACACATTAATGCGTAAACTTTAATTATGCAAGAGGACTTCCAAATCTATAAATTAAAAATAAATACAAAAATTATTGAATTCTATCGCAGGTAATAACGGACGATAGTTCAATATAATTCAATATAATTCCTTTTAAGAGACTAAGTATATATTTTATCATATCTCTTTATCTTAGCATTACGCAAAGAAATTCATACATAAATTTCCTCGTATACATATTATAAAGACACGATCTCTACGTACTAATATACGTAATAAAAGTGTGAAATATAATAGACAGAAAGACTTGGAGGCTTCGATCAATTTCGGATTAACACTGAGTACAGATAGCTTCAATGCAACATAATAAAGATAGCGATACGTGTTTCACGTCAAAACGCTTCGAATGGCAGTGTCGGAAGCCGGGGAAGGTATCATATTGAGTCGGTCAGTCGTATTAGGTGGAAAATAGTTTGACAAGTTCCAAAGTGGATTAATCGACGTGCCTAGTGCGCCCGGTCGAACGATGATGCTGCTGCGGCGATGCAACTAATACGTCGGGCAAGTTATTCTCTTCAGAGTGATGCGCGCGCGCGAGACACCTACTCCTCAGCGTAAATGCTTTGATCGAGGGCGTGAAAGCACGAGTCAGCAACTACCTACTTGCCGGCTCTTGTATCGTTAGGGCGGCTAATAACTCCCCGCCCGCAGGCTGCCGCATCCCCCGTGTCAATGTTGGGGCGAAATTTGCGAGCCATTTGGGAACCGCGATAAATTTCGGGCCGCTCGCCCGCTTAGCCTACGTAGCCTTGTGTACGCGCTTAAACTTAACTCTCACAACTGTTACGCTGTAACTCGACTAACATAATCGCCACGTCGTCATAACCAACGTTTTCTTCTAAATGACGTTACCCAACAACTCGCGCTCTCATGAATTCAATTTTTACCTCAACTTTCTGTTTATACTATGAACAAAGTCTGTGCATAGAACGCGTTCAATTTTTACGTTGTCTTCGTAATTGGCAATTGACACAACAAAATTGACAAAACAAAAGCTAAATTGTTATACAAAAGAATAATTCTGATAGTTTTTCTTCCCTTATAAATATTCAGTGGTTCTTTATGAAAAAATTTCTGAGAGTCTGCGATTTGAAATTATTTGAATATATTTTTATAGAATCCGTAAAATTATGTCATTGCGGATTGAAAATATAACAACGGACCGTGATTATTTTACGCACGCGATTATTTTAATGTATTAAAAGTATTTATACATTTTCGATAGCCATACTGTTTTCTCTGAAATTGTTTGTTTTATGCCGCAAGAGAGAAATATTTCTCTAAACTGATTTACTCTACTTAAAGTCTATGACACACGATGTTATTTTTCGCGTTAAATCGCACGTGATCTAATGGATTGCTATAAATGCTGCTATTTCAAGTAATTTACCAGATCGCACGCGAGTTAACACGAAAAATAGTGGGCTCAATTTCTTTATTTAAATCCACGTACGTTTGTGGAACGTATTGCTTGCGATTTAACTGGAAACCAGAAAACATCAAGACAAACAGCTAATTGCGCTGATTTATGATGTCCGAGAAATTGCAGACGGCCGGATAAATGAAATGCTATTCCGTTGTTCCGTCCCGATATTGCGAGGTGCCTCGTGCGCGTTGTTTGCGACGAGGCGCGGAAGCTGGGAAAACGCGAAACTCATAACGACATTCGCACGGAGGCACCCGACGTAACTCGTTTATAACTACGTTCGAGAGGGAAATGCACGCTCGTTCCGGCCGAATTTCGTAATGCCGTCGCGCGCACGTTGCACGCGCGCGGCATACAAAACACAAAGTATGCAAATTCTTGGTGCGCGCAAGCGAGATGGAGAGATTGAAATCCTCCATCGTGATGTCCGGCAATTATGCTCGCCGTCACGCCAGCCAGCTTCCGGAATTGTGTCTCTCGCGCGCGCGCTACTTAATTACTAATTCCGCGCGGGTATCACACAGGCATTCTCAAGCGGAATTCCGCGCGAACGCCCGAATTACCCGAGGGACGTCCTGCCGATTTCCGAAGGTGTCGCGCCTTAATTGGCAGAAAATTATTACACGCATG